ACCTTGACATTCTAAACTAATCCGTTCACACCAAGTTCGATATCAGAAGTTCTACTCGCCCAAATTCAATTTTGAAAAGCTCTACGGACTCAGTAATGTCTTAGTTAATAAGATAAACCAACCTAAGCTTAGACAGTTTATCCAATACTTTCCCAGATTTCCCTAGACCTCACCTTGATCAAATTTCATCTAAGACTAGCCTAGCCTAGAATTTTCAATTCACTACTCTGAAAGTTTTCTTACTCAAATTCTTTTATCATTGGTTAATCCATAACGACTAGAGGGGTCATTACAATGGATACCAATTTATCCATCACTCATTCACGAGCTACCAAACAAGAAAAGTTGGGCTAAGCCAAGAAGAAAGTAGTACTTGAATCCTCAAACAAGTAACGGTACTTGTCCTGCATATCCCTCTTGATTTCTGAAGTGGCTTCCTCAACTGAAATATGCTTCCATTGAGCATTCACTGATCTGATTTCCCTAGTTCTCAATTTCCGTACATCTTGATCAAGCATTGCAATTGCCTTCTCTTTGTACCGAAGGTCATCATCTAACAAGATTGAATCCCACTTGACGATGTATTACCAATTGTCATAGTACTTATTCAACATGGATACATTGAACACTAGGTGGCCCAAACAAACTAGGCGAGAAAGCTAATCTGCAAGCAACTAGTCCCCCACTGTCAAGAACTTCAAATGGACCAATGTAATGAGAGTAAGCTTACCCTTCTTGGCAAACCTCACTCCTTTCGTTGGCGACAATTTCAATAATACTTATTCACCAACTTGAAATGTCATGTCTCTTATCTTGTAATTCATATACTTCTTTTGTCTGCTTTAGGCTGCCAAAAGTTTATTTGGATACCCATTACCTTATTTTGAGCTTCCTTTACCAAATCCACACCCACGGGCTTCACATCCCAACATCAAACTATCTTATAGGCGACTACATCCCCTCCCATAAAGTGCTTCAAATGTGTCATGTTAATGCTGGTGTGATAGCTATTTTTGTATGCAAACTCACATACGGGTAAGACTGGTCCTAAAAACCTCCAAAGTCAATCATGCATGCTATCAACATGTCCTCTAGCACATGAATTGTCCTCTCCGACAACTATCTTTATGAGGATGAAAATCTATGCTAAAAGTTAGTTGAGTACTAATGATTCACGTAACTTACCCAGAACATTGAAGTAAAATGAGTGCCTTTGTCTGAAATGATAAAAAGGGGAACCCCGTGCACAACCGTGCTATCTCTTTGAAATATATCTTAGCCAACTTATAGGAGTTGTAATCCACTCAGATTGGAATAAAATGGGTTAATTTAGTCAATTTATCAACAACGACCCAAATTGCATCATACTTCCTTAAGGTCTTAGAGAGTCCTAGCATGAAGTCCATGACTATTATTTTCCACTTCCACTCAAGAATAGACATTCTTTAAATAAAACCTCTAGGAATTTGGTGCTCACAATTTACTTGTTAACAATTACGTCACTTAGAAACATACTCAACTATGTCCCTCTTCGTCTCAGGCCACCATTAAAGTTGTCTCAAGCCTCGATATATTTTAGTTACACCCGAATGAATAGAATGCCATGAACCATGAGACTCTATTAAAACCTTTCAAAATCAAATCACCAACCCAAGGAACAGAAATATGTCTTCTAAACTGAGAACTCCACCTACATCATGTGTAGCATCTACATTCTCGAACTTTCTAGCCTTGATTTTCTCTATAGAAGTATGCTTAACATCAATACTGGCCAACAACCCACCCTTTTTTTTTGAAATCCCCAAGTGCATGAACTTAGATGCTAGAGTTTGAATCTCTCTAATTAAGGGTCACATATACACCCCTTAGCAAGCCAAACTACCTTAGCCAATTGTCTTCTGGTTTAATTCATATGCTACCACATTGTCCTTGTCTGGGTGGTACTACATTGTCACATCATAGTCTTTAAGCAACTCCATCCACTTCTTCTACCTCAAATTTAAATCTCTCTAAGTAAACACATGTTGTAAGCTGTGATGATTTATAAACAGTTCACACTTATGACTACAAAGATAGTGTCGCTAGATATTGAGTGCAAACATTACCATCCTTCTTCTTCACAAACAGGATCGGAGCACCCCAAGGTGAAACAGTGAGACAAGTCAATCCCTCATCTAAGAGTTCTTGAAGCTGAGTCTTGATAAGAAGGGATAGAGATTGGGCGAGTACCCGGCTCCAAATCTATAAATAAATCAATGTCTCTATCCAAAGGCATACCTTGCACATCCGAAGAAAATAATCCTAGAAATTATGAAACCACTGAGATTGACTCGATAGATAGGGACTCCACACTAATATCCTAGAGAGAGCTAAGTAGGACAAAAAAAATACCTCCCACTAGTCTTATAGCTAGAACAAAAGATATGATTTTTTCGGGTTTAGGCTTATACACACCTTTGCACTCCAATCTATCCCTACCTGGGATTTCTAGAGTTATTGTGTTAGCATTACAATTTTGCACATCATAATAAGGTGACAACCAAGTCATACCCAATATCACATTGAAATTTAGCATATCCAAAATGGTCAAATCTTTCCAAGTCTGAAGAACCCCATATATATATATATATATATATATCATAGAATAAGTATAATAAACATGGGTTGCTACCATTGACTCCCAAACCGGGGTAGAAACATAATGGGGGCATCAATGATATCCCCAATCAAGTGAAGTTAAAATGCAAATTTAATAAATACATATGAATATGTGGAACCCAGATCAAATAAGATAGAAGCCATTCAATCAAAGACAAGAATAGTACTTGTTATCATTACAACTGATGCCTCAACCTCAGTCTTACCTGAGAAGGTGTAACACTAATCTCTATCATCATTCCGGACAACCCTTCTACCTGGGTGCCCCATTCCCCTCCCAGCATTATCATTTCCTCTACTCCACGGCCTCTCTGGTTCTTACCATGCCCACTCTCTGAGCGTGCTCTTCCATTACCACCTCCACCTGCTGGGACTACAACTTTAGTCTGATGTTGTACCGGGTTGCCTGTCAGTTTATGAGAGTATTCTCTCTTAAAGTGACCCACGTCACCATAGTTTAAATATTCTCAGTCAAGTGAGGTTAGGCTGACTAACAAATAAAAAGATGCTTGACCACTTTGAGCTAGAGACTACTACACGACCCATGAATAACCACCCCTAGAAGCTAGTAAAGCCAATTGAATCAGATGAGCTTAATACACCTGCTAACCAGGACCTTTGAATTAGGAACCATTGTAGTTGCCCACATTGTTGGACCTCTTAGCCAATGATTTGTCCTACCCAACGTACGCAATTCATTCAAATTTCATCACATAGTTGGTTACCTTATTGAAGCTCTTTCTTGTCGAAGTCATGTGCATAGATAAGACATGCAATTCAGTGTTTAACCCATTCACATAAAGCAGAACCCTCTCATCCTCAATACTCACAAGTTAAGTAGTGTAGCGAGAGAAGACATGGAACTTAGCCTCATAAGTTGCTATATGTTGAAAGCGCAAAAGGAGGGTGAATTGCTATTTTTTTTATTTTCTGTTGTGAGTAGTTGACTTGAGATACACCTCAGTCGACTACAGTTTGCTAACAGGTATAAGCAGAATCGAAAAATGCGTAAAGTAAACTTGACACAGTAATTTTTAAACTGGTTGGGATCCAAAGTGGATCTTACGTCCAGTCCCCTTGGGTTGCAAGGGTGTTCTCTTCTAGACTTGGTAACTTTTGATAGGTGCACAAAGTTGAGTGTGACTTCACAGTTTACACTCAGTTTCTTTTCTCTCTTTGTTTTGATACAACGCCTTACCAACAATATTTATCTTTTTTTTTTCTGTTTACACAGTAGAACTAAGTAATACATTGCTTATCAAAAGTAGAGTAGGGAGTGTTTGAGATGATTCAGACTTGTTTGTATATCTTGTCAGTTTGTGGATGGAGTATATTTATAGTGTTTTAGGCTTGAATCATTTCTGTGAAGAGATGGCAACCCAAGAGATTTGATCCTTGGAAAAGAAGACAGGGAATCCTTATTTTCCAAGAATAAAGATTGAGGCTTATCTTCCTTTCCATTGATTTAGCCTCAATTTTACTTGAGATCTTCTGCTAGCCGATAGTCTTAATTCTTCAGTCTTCAATAGCCTGAGATCTTTCTTCTAGCCGTTAGCCTTGATTCTTCAGTCTTCAATAGCTGTTGAAGATTTTTTATGATCTTCACCTTCCTTAATTGAGATGTAGCCGTTTGAAGTCTGCTTTGATTTAGTTGTCTTTGATTTGATCTCAATTAAGATCTGCCCTGTTTTTCAGCATCCTTGATTGAAGGTCTTCAATTTTCTGCTTGGTAATCTTTCTTGATTAAGCAGCGTGATTTTGTATCTCCATTTTGGATTATTTCCTTTTTGATGATTTGCTAATCCTGAAACGATTTAAATTGTTTATCATTAAAACTTTGCACTAACATATGTTACCTAGCTCAAGAGTCAGCAACTAATCCTTCTTACGATCTCAGAGAGTTTGAGAACATACTTCTCAAGGAATAGGGAATGGAACTAAGTCCAATTCAACAGAGGCAGAACTAATGCGTGCTACTCCACATAAGCCATCCACCATTGTTTGGCTTCACCCTGCAACTGGAAGGTAATAAACTCTACCCTATACTGATTTATGATACCCAATTTGTGTAATCCTTACTCTCTATACATGGAACACTAGAGACTTCCATTTCAGAATACTTAGCCAATGGTTCATGCTCAATTCAATTCATCACAAGTCCCAAAACGAATGAAAGAATGCCTCAGTACCTGAAGCCTTATCCATCCTAGGGTATGAAGTAGTAATAAAATGAGTAACTGGTGCCTGAGTAGCCGACACAGTGGGGGAGGTTGCAGTACCTACCAACCCATTCAGAAATGCTAACACATATTGAACCATTTTCGAAGACATAGGAGGAAGACATGAACCCTCAACCCGTGTTTCCACTTGTAGCCCAACATCCTCCTCGATTTACATCTCAAATTCCTCAGCATGATCTTGTAGTGGGAGAGAGGTTGCTGGCCTTGGCCCAACCACCACCTGAGCTCCATCCCTGGCGGATGTTGCCCTCCCTCTGTGCTTACCCCTACCTCTACCTCTACCTCTTCATCTTACCATCGATTCCGCCACTAAAAGTGGTACTTTAACTCCATTATGTCTAGTATCAACCATTTGCAAATAGAAGAATGAAGAAGGTTAGATACCTATTCGCATCATAAGATACCAAATGGAATCAAGTTATAGCACGTAGGAAGAAAGAAATGAAGTTTTCTAAAGTTTTGTAGCATCCTAAAGAAAAGTACAGACGTCTCCCCACTATGAGTGGCACCCACACTACATATTGGTAGCTAAAAGTCTTGTTAAAATACATATATGTGCCCTTAATTTAACTTGGCCTCACTTGACATTAATGTCTTCCAACTTTGGGTGCGTACAAGTTGACACTTAAACTTGTATAAAGTTGAACTAGTAGACACATGAGTCATACATGACATAATACATGTAGGACGCCGCATAGGACGCAAATTGACGTGTAGGATGCCACGTAGGATGTGTGTGTCTATTTGTTCAACTTTATACATGTTTAAGTGTCTACTTGTGCACACCCAAAGTTTGAGGGCATAACTGTAAGTTGAGGCCAAGTTAAGGGACATATGTATGTGCTATTCCTTAAGTTTTTAACATGTCTAACAAAATTATATGAAAGTACATAATAATTTCTATCATAACATACTTTATACATATGATTAATGTTGATTCAAATTACAATTCCATATCTGAAAATATATAATAACAAAAAAAATGAGAAGATTTTTAAATTAAATATGGTAAAAATATGTTGTTGATATTTCGGTCATAGTTTAGGGGTACTTATGACTTATTCCATTTTTTCTATAAGAGAATTATTCTGGCTCAGCCGCCTGAACATTATTTATGTGAAGAAATTTCCAAGGTTACAAATATGGTAGTGTTGTGATTCAACTTTATCTCCTCATTCTCCCTATTATAGCAAAATCCACCTTGTGAGATAAGAATCCTTCAAAACATTATTGTTTTCCAAGTTTTCAGTTTGTCCTTTCTAATAATGTTGTGGAAAATAAGAAAGTATTTAGCACTTACGTATTGTGTCAAATTATATATGTTTGTCAATCAATTCTTAAAAATGAATAAATTGTGTTATTACGTTTAATATTAAAAGAAAAAGTTTTATATGGTTTTCCTTGTGAGAAAATAAAACAAATAAAAATGTCATTCTCACACGTTACTAAAATTCTTCTCTCTCCCACACGAATCCAAATCCAACATAATTAGGTACATCACTCACTATGAATATCACATGCATTCTTCTACTTAAATTCCATCCATAACTAATAAAGAAGCATAAAAATAAGAAAAATGAAAATAATATCCATGTGGATAAGAAAAATGAAAAATTATGTCTGTGTGTTCTAGCTAAAAAGCTATTATAAGAATAAGATAATATCCATGTGGTTGCGTGTTTAAAAATATATAAATTTGTATTTCTAGGATAAAAGTGGGAACATGTATGTATTGTGAGTTCCACAAGAACAAGAATAGTGTCAGGTCATGAACACTATATATGTACTAGTTTGTTTGTTTTCTATTTCAATGTGATGTTTACTAAGGTTTGTCAAACACCACTTAATTAAATGTCCAATAAGTATTATTAGATTGATCCAAATAATTTTACTTTTGATATCATCTTTACATGTTTTAGTCCATGTGCTAAACATAGATGCATCCTTGGTCATTCATGAAAAAAAGTTTAAGCATGTAAGATTCATGAGATGACTGAATCCAAAATTGAATTATGATAACGTCTATCATAAACCTTAAACCTTCCGTAGGCAAGCCAATCTAGTAACACGCAATAAATAAATTAGAAATAACTAGCATTGAAGTAATAATAAGATCGGGAAGGGCTTCATTATATAGATATGTACAAAATGGTACAAAATATATAATAAGGGCCAAAAAATGACCAAGAAAGACAAATATATAGAAGAACCAAACCCCATGCTACCGATAGAAGAGTGTCTAATGTACATCGGTAATTCTATATATACACAACCAGTCTGTCTAAATAAGATACAAAATATATAGATTGTACAAAAGAGACAAATCAGCAAGTCTTTGAATGTTAAGAGCTCACCACGATCCAAATAGCGATGACCTCGAAAGATTAAGAGTCAACAAGGGTGGCTCGTACTATAGGTGTTGCATCAGAAAAAGATGCAGAATTGTAGTATGAGGACCAAAACATGGGGTACTCAGTAGGCATCATAGACATCATAGCATCAACTATTTCTTCCACTCTAGACATCTTTCACAAGCAATTCTAGAGATCTAAACTAGATAGGAGTTTGCGACCTCGAATCATAAATTAAATCATGAAGAACAGCTTAACCCATATCAAATCAACATTAAATTAATCATTAACAAACACCTACATGCTAATTAAGCATTCAACTACATGAGCACACTCCTAAGATTATGGGGTTTATTTAGCCAAGGATTCTGAAATTTAAGAGAATTTTACCAAAATGTTCTCCATCAATGCTAAATGCTTGAATTTCCAATCTTCTCCAAAACAAAACCCCAAATTCTCAAAGTACTAGCCAAAATTCTACAAAAGTATGGAAGTTTCTAAGTACAAAATATTCAGAAAAGTAAAAGATGTCTTTCTCTCTCCAAAAAGATCAATTTATATGTTTCTAAAATTTGGCAAAAATTGCACTTCGTAGCACACTCGGTGTATTTAGTCGGGCTTGCCGAACTGATTGGTGAGTCACCGATTGCTCCTTTTCATCACCCTTTCACCTTTTAAGTGGAACTCCTGACCTTCGAGATTCAATCGTATTTGGCAGGCTTATTGAGTCCGCAAAGTTGATTCGGCGAGTCGCTGATATCTCTTTTACTCGTCAAGTTGGCTTGAATTTCTGGGCAGACCTCTCTGAAATTTTTGGCGAACTGGGACTCATTTGGTGAATTGGCGAGTGGCTTTGGCGAGCTTAAGCTTGGCCAATTTCTTCACTTTTTCAAATACTTGACTTTTTTTTTTTTTTTTGCTCTCATTTGTCCTCGTTTTATCCCTAAGATCGTGTAGTTGAAATTCAAACAATTGTAAATTAGAAATGGACATAAACAAGCATTCTCTGATTGATTAGTTTCCTACTTGGATACTCTTAAGGATATGTGGTTCTCATCTAGATGCTTGGTGTGCATTGGTTTCCTATTTGGTTTTGACCCACATAGTTCATCCGGAATCTCCTGAAGAAAAACCAAACACGCAAATTTAGCATCAAATACATTTTGGACTTGTAGTAAAAATCAAATCACCAAATTGAGATCATGTTAATCAAAAATTGACCGTGGTCAACTCTAAACTTTAGGAAAATTAGAAATCAAATCATGACCTTAATCATTTTTGAATGTCTTGATATTCGTGTAAAAATAAACTATGTCATAAATCATAATTCAGATCTAGTAAAATCGTCAAAACTCGAATCCGACTTTGTTAAGCTAAAACATCAACTTTGATCAAATTTTTAGAATTAAAAACTCTAAAGTAGCTAGAAATTATTCCCAGAAAGTAGGGGTGTACATGGTCGGGTTGGTTCGAGTTATTCAAATATCAAACCAAACCATTTGTGTCGGATTTTTAAATCTATAAACCAAACCAAACCATTTGTGTCGGATTTTTAAATCTATAAACCAAACCAAACCAATAAAACTCAGGTTTTTCAACCTCGGATTTTTTTGGATTTTTTCGGGTTTTTCGGGTTTTAGGGTTTTTCCGCAAAAGTATTCATACAAACATATAATTTACTTGTACTTCAAATATTTCTTCAGTCCTATCAAAATACAACTATCTAAGGTGTTTCTTAAGAATACAACACAAACAACGATATGATTAATGACACTAAAATATCCAAAAAATAATAATAATAATGAAATCGCGTAAAACAAATATTGCAAATTAACAAGTCATAATGAAAATGATCATAATTTAAAAGTACTAAATCATGCTAAAATAAGTTTAATAAGTATTAGTTACATGACTAAATATTAAAGGAAATTAAAATTAGATTATATACTTTAATTGTCTGAACCAATGTAAAACCAAAGAACAAATATTCAATATTATTGTCATTCTTAGTGTTAAATTGATTTTCTTTTGCATTAGTATTAATTTGATTTTGATTTAAGTTTTATTATAATTAGCAACATCTATGGACTATAATATTTATGGAACCATTCAAGATTCTAAGTTTCAAACTTGAAATAATATATTAAAAGATAAAAACTATGAAAAAGTATAAGAAGTATTTAAAAATTAGGATAAATTACTTATATACACATATTTAATTTCCTTATTCTCTATTTTTCCCTACCTTTTTAAAATATTACATAAATCCCTTCTTTCTCCTAATTTAAAAAACTACCGGATACATAAAAGTCACCAGCCAAACCTACATTCAACACTCCCTTTTCACTCCTATTTTCTTTCCCTAAATTCACTCCAAATTATTAGCAGTTACAAAATTCATATCCAAGTTTGATTTTTAAAAAGTTTAAACTAACCAAACATTAAAAAGGAAATTAAAAAATATTTTTCAAAATATTTAAACTAACCAAAAATAAAATTGAATTAAAAGAGGAGTATTTCCTCTTTAATATGATCCTATACGGCTAAATGGGTTTGTTGAAAATACTTCCTTAATTAACTTTAGGCTGATTTTTTATTAGTTGCATCAATTAACTTGTTAGTCATACCATTTTTTTAGGAATGCAAGGTGGATGCAACTAAGCCTATAGCGCCTAAAATAGGTCACTAGTTTTTGCAATTATATGTGTAATAAATTATTTTTATTACTCATAATAATGTTTGATCGTTACAGTAGTAATAACTCAATTATAGAAATAATAAATTTAGATAAAAAATTGTCGGATACATAATTAATTCCACAATTTTTTTTCTCCCCTTTTCAAGTCATAAATCTCTCCACAATTATCTTACATTAATTAGAATTTTAATGTATCTAGTTAATTTTGTTTCTTAATTAATGTATAATGCCTTTGTTTCAATACTACGATACATTACAATTAGTGTATC